GGGGAAGGCACCGCTCCAATCGCGGACCAAACCGTACCAGACGGAAGAGTCCCTGATCGCACCCCGTCCGGTCCGGTCCGGGTCCGTCTGGTCCGGGGGGAGGGTGCCGTATGCGGACAAGCAGACCGGACCGGACGCTCGTCTRGTCCGTCTGCTTGCAAGTATGAAAAATACTACTACAACTGCTACTACTACTACGGGGGAAACAAAGGGCTTACCTGGCCAAGAACGGAACCAACAGTGGGCGGCGCAGCAACCAACAGGTAATACTCCAGTAGTGTACCCCGTGACTGTTCGTTTTGTGGACAGGCTTCAAGACGACGCCTGTACCCGGCACGGTTTGCATCCGGGTACGGGCTCTTGGGGCAAGTGGGGGAAGACCCTATGAGCCCGACACTAGTTCGACACGGTCAAAAAGAAAAAAAGAGTGGGGGAAGGAAACACAGTTTCCCCCCGATTTGAACTCGAAACCTGGTTTTCAGCAGCCGTGGCTGCTGAAAAACGAGGTGAGTGAGGAAAACAAAATCTTTCGCTTTCTTTTTTTTGTGCTGTGTGAGCTCTTTTTTTTTTTGTTGTGAATTTGGCTTCCTCTGCAGCCTGATTCGGGCACAGCCGCTGAACTCAGATTGAAAGTGAGTTCAGAGGGGGAGTGCGCGAACCTGGCTGAGGGTCAGGCTAGGTGCAGCAAGGCAGAGCCTTGCTGTGCTGTTGTAGCACAACAAGGGGAGGCTGAGTACAGCCTTCCCTCCATGAATGGGACCTGGGGAAAAACCCAGGTACATTTATACTTGAATCCCCCTAGTCCTCCTAGGGGAAAATCAAGGTTTGGGACCCTTGATCTGAATTTCACATCAAGGGCTCACAACAGCTACGAATTTGTAGTTGCTGTGCTCAAGGAGGCAGCCTCAGCTGAGCTTCGGCTGGGCCTTCGCCTCTCAGCCAGTTATAAAAGTTGGGCTGGCCAGCACCAACCTCATCATTTTGAGGTGTTGCCCACACTCTGCCTGAGTGTTTGGCCATCTGCAAAGAGAGAGAGGAGAGGCTGCTGGAGTGTAAGGCCAGCTAAGTGAGAGAGAGATAGACTGTTGTTGGAGGAGAGAGGGAGAGAGTGGAAGAGAGGTGAGGTGCTGCTGGCTACTATAGCCAGCTAGTACTTGGAATAGAGGAGATGCTAGACTGTCATAACCAGCTAGCACTGAGGTGGAAGGTGAAGTAGTGAAGGGGGAAGTGCTGCTGGAATGCAGACAGAAAAGTGAAGGAGGGGAGCTGGTGGCTGCCATAGCCAGGTGCTCCAAGTGCTCCAGGCAGCCAAAAGTAAGGTTTCTAAGGAGGGAGAAGGCAGTCATAGCTACCTCTCTCAAGGTGAGAGAAGACTGCTACTGCAGTCATTCTCAAGGTTAAAGAAGAGGCTGTCATAGCCTGCTGCAGCAAAAGTGGAGGCTGGCTGCAGCAAGGGTGAAGAGGAAGGTGCCTACTAAGAGGGGGAGATTGAAGTCAGATTTGGAAGAGGAGAGGAGAGACTGCAGTTTGGATTTGAGAGGTGAAGGTTGGCGGGAGTGCAGTAAAATTTGAAGAAGAAGGAGGAGGAGTGGCAGCTATAGCCACCAGCCTGTAAGGAAGGAATGGAGTGAGGATACTTCGCTTAGTGATACAGTTGAGGGTTGCACACTAAGGGAGTAAGTGGAGTGGAGGTGGTATACGCAATTGAAAGGAGGGTTGTCGTGAGCTTCGCACGCGGGACGTCGACAGTTTGGTGGTTATTCTGAAAGGTTTTCTTGAGTGGACCAGCAAGACACTCAAGGTCAAGGGACTCAGCCTACCTCACTGGTGCCCAAAACCCACACTGTGCTTGACCCTTTCTCTGAATATTCTTGGAAATGRCAGGATAGTGRGGAGGGGTTTGGCACATGYAAWTGGGGGAGACTGACAAAAAAAAAATATATGTGCGTGTGCTATTTTATGTGATGTTCTTTTTGAACGCAGGTATGTGTGAGCGACGGGGCGCAGGGTAGTAGGGAGATGATGGTTTGCTGGTTGTATCTCCTAAGCCCTCGCCCATTTGCATGAAAAAAAAAAAAAAAAAAAAAAACGCGAGAAGAAAGCGGCGTCGAAGAAAGAAGAAAATCCCAGATGGACTTAGACTATTCCCTTAGGGAAACCTTTCTCGCCCGAATGACCCCCTCTGAGTCTGATTCCCGTCCAAATGGAACTTCTTCCCTCGCGTCCTTCTTCCTTCGTCTAAGTTACCCTCGACGCCGGTGGTCGAAGGGGAGGTAGTTTACTTTCCGGGGTCGCATTCCCTATCTCTAGGAGGAATCTGAGGCGGGGGKTCGTTGCCTTAGGGGCCGACCCTGTATTCGACTCGGAGTGGACCGCTTTCTGCGGGCGGGTACCTTGYTGCCGTGGTGGAGCCAGCCCAACTTCTGAGATCCAGGCTTAGGCCTGGGCGAGGAGAAGGGGTACCCTATACCACCTCGTAGGGGTTGGGCGTGTAATCTTAGGTGGGGAAAACATCAGACCCCTTGATTCTCGCGCAGGGGGCGACTGCTAGGGTACCCTAATGGTGGCCGCTTTAGGAGTCACCTACCAATGGAAAACTGGAGCCTTAAACAGCCCAGTTCAAGTTTAACTAAGGGCAAGTGGGGTGCATTTAGGCACTGCCTACGCGGTAGGCCGCGCCGCAGGAAGCGCGCGCCGTTAGAAAAAAGAAATATGAAAATGAGAATTTCAACTTACAAGCGGATTTTTTTGCAGATACCATTCACTCCCATTGTTGATCGGCATGGTAGCAGTGAAATGTACTTGGAGGAGTCATTGCTGGCATGGTTTAATAAGTGTCGACAGACCCAACCGTAAGTTAAAGGTTAGGCTGTCCTTCCTAATCTTTTGTCAAAATCGAGCCTCCACCTTGGAAGCGGCGGAATAATAGTATCGCCAGTCATATAGGCCGGGAATGATAACTTTGGCAGATCATCTCATCAAGTCAAAATCAAGTCTTGTGTGATTGGATATAAAGTGTATTGATTTTATTTATTTATCTTGTKGTCAGAGAATTATAAAAGGACTAGGATAATATTGTGGGTTTCACGTTTGGTTGAGACCGTCCTAGTTGACCGACGTTCGTTCGTACCTAGGAGATCAGCGTCCTAGGGAACGGACAACATTCGGGTCCACTTGGCGCTAACCAAGCGTACCTATACTCCAGCGAGCGAGCAAACGCCCTCGGCTGACCCACCTCTGCAATTGCATGTAAAAGCTTTCGCATGTGGGTCAGTAGCTCGGTAGGGATACGCCCCTGAGGGTGGTAACAGCCCCTTAGGGAAGGTAAGATGTGCCCCGCGAGAACCTATCCTGTCATGGGGGACCGCGGGATGTACAGCTGGCGCACCCGGCTAGAGTGGCGAAGGGGCAATGCAACCGCGTCCGTATCGGCGGTTCGCGGGATTAATTATGCATCGTTCCCAAGTTGTCTCTGATTTTGTTTGGGTTTTACTCCTGCGTGACATAGCCGGGAGGGCCCTCGCTCACGCGGGGGCCGATGCGCTCGACACCGTCATAACCAATCGGGGTCCGCCCCTCCAGCAGATCAGTGTACGTCGGCGTCGAGGGCTGTCTGTACAGCTGGCTCCCCATCCAATCCTGTGTCGAATCGCTGCCCAGAGGAACCGTTGATGATCGGGGCCCGTCGCTGTCGTCGTCACTCGGAGGCAATGGAATCTCGTGGGACGGCAGGTGGCTGTATAGCGTCGGGTCGTATGGGCGCCTGCCGCCTTCCGCAGAGCTGCAACGCTGACATGACGACCCGCCAGCCCCTATGGACATCGTCCTCTTCGTTTGCACCTTCTCCATCTTCCCGGTCGCCTTCATCGATCGCCGCCTCTGTTTCCTCTCAGGGACGCGACCGAGGATGCAGATATGAAAGACGACAACGGCAAGCAGCAGTACAGTGGCAAGCAGCAACAAAGGCAGCCTGCGGCACAGGTCAGCCATGAAGGAGAGGGGACGCACTTGGCTGTCGCGATCGCGGCGACCTGAGACACACGTTGCACGAGGGAAGACGACAACGTACGAAATTGCTGCAGCCACCGGCCGGGGGTGGACGCTTAAAGAAATTCGTGTTTTCGACCGTTAGGTAGCCCGCAGTAGCGCTACGACACCTCCACGACCCGCCAAAAAGACGAGGCCGTTCGTGGACGTTTTGGACGTTGGCGCCTCGTGATGTCCGTCTTCAACACGGAGGACCAGCACTGGACCACCTCCGACCACCAATTTCCCTTTTCGACTCGCCGACGACACCCCGATTATCACGGATCCTCGGACTCCGAGGGACCTCGCGAGGTCCCTTGGAGCCGAGGACGATTTGGCTGGAAAATCCTCGGAGCCCAAGGATTTGTCCTCGGAGTGTTTTCACATTTCGGTTTCAAAAATCGGCTCCGAGGACAGGTGGAACGAAGACGAAATCCTTGGAATCACGTCCCCGAGGTGTGTCGATTGACGCCCTTATACAGGGGACCCCTGCGAACATAGCCTTGTCTTCTCCCTCCAGCCAGCAGAGGGGATGCATGTTACCCCCTGCCCCAACCATGGTGGTCAAGGATGGGGTGGGGCCGCCCGTGGGGGTTTCCTTTGTCGTTCCCTCTTTTCTGTTTTCGTCGCTTATGTTGTCTTTCTTTTTCTGTTCTTTTTTTTTTTCCTCTCAAGTCTTTTTTTTTTTTTTCCTCTCAATTTCACCTCACACCATCTACCTACTAGTACTCCTAATTGTAGGCATACGGGAACCTGGTAGCAGCCAGAACCATGTTCTGATGCTACCGGCTGTCCCCTAGCCGGTATAGCCCACCTGCAGGTCGAGAGCAGCCCCCGCATGTTCTCTCGTGAACACGGTTCTCGAGTCATTTCACAGAGTCCCTCCTATCCAACATTGAGCGTTGGAACATATCCCTTCCGATTGACACCCATTGCGGCGAAAGCAAACAAGGCGTTAACGGGCACGCTGTTAAACTTTTTTTTGTTTTTTTTTTTAAACAATTCGGTGCCATCGGTGGAGAAGCGGCCCGGGCCACACCCCGCCCACTGATCCATCCGATCGCATGGCCCACGCCCAATTTCGCGACTGGTTTTGACGCGCAGTAGTCTAGCAGAGCATCGTCGTCCCCCGCTACCAATGCCGTAGGATACTGCGGTCGTGGACCCGCTTTCCAGCAGGTGCTGCTCCCCACCAATGGATGGAGCCTTCCACTTATCACGTCAGTAAGCGGTTGACCTATGATGAAGTCTCCCCAAAAAACAAAAACAAGAAAAAGAAAAACCGACTGAGGGAGTAGGGGTGCGCGAGGGAGAGAGAATTGGAGGGTGGGAGGGTGTAGTGAGGGGGAACACCGAATTGAAAACCAGTTATCGCTTTTATGGGTTGAATCACACCGCCACCGCCTTTCCGGAGCGAAGGTACTATAAAGTGTCATCGTTCCCATACGCATGACAGCGGAATGCGGGACGCTCGATAGCGCACGGCCGATGTTTGAAACGGGAGTGCGAAGCCGAAGAGGTGCAGGCGCGCAAATTCAACGTGTGAAGCGGGTTTGCCTGCTGCGGCCATGATCGTCTACTGTGTCGGCGCCATGCGGCTTGGCCTCCAGTCAGAAGATTGCGGGACTTGCACGAGGACATAGTACTACGCGAGCTCGCTGAGCTCTCCTTCGAGAGAACCGGACGGCTTCTTACGCTATCCTTGACGCCTGAAGAGGGAACGTGTACGTGGGGAGCTGGACCGACGGACGAAGTCAACAATCACCGAGGGAAAGAGCTGGGCGCGGATATCTTGCCTGCCTTGTGCGCCATCCGCGCCTCCACTGGCCCATAGCCGTTCTCCCTCATTTACTGCGCCACTTGAGAGGATTTGCGGTTTCATTGGCTTTCAGCAGCTGTGCTGACTAGGAATTGCTAATTGACCAGGCTGGCCATGGCGATGGCGATGGCAAGCGCCGCGAGCTATGGTGTCACATATGCGGGGACGAAGGTGGTGGCTCGCTCGGCGCTCTCCGGCTCCTCCAAGGCTTCCTCTTCGTCCTCCACTGACTCCCGGTCCGGTGGAGGAGCGGCAGTGGTTTCGCGACCCGCTGTGGGTTCTGAGGCTGGCTGGACAAGTGGGTCGGCCCGGGGATGGGAGCAGATACCGACGCCTCCGCGAAGCGGCGGCTGCAAATCGTTGACTCCAGGATCTTCCTTCTTATCGCCCGATGGGCGTCGCGGGGATGTGGGCTGCGGCTATGTGGATCGCAACGGCCGGGGTCTCGATCTCGCCTTTACGGGAAGGGAGGATGAGGAGGTGGTGGGGATTAACAACAACCCGAGCAAGAAGTCGGAGGTTGGGAGACTTGTCGGGATCCCGCGTGCCAGGGCAGGGAACTCTGGCGGTAGGCTTAATCCCTTCCGCTTTCTCAATTGGTTGCGCTCCAAGAGGGGTGGGAAGGAGCAGGAGGAGCGCGCTTCAGCAACCGACACGACGACGAAGCCTGGTCAACATAATGTGTATTACACGGTCAAACCTGGAGACACGTTGGAGAGTGTTGCAAGGCAATTCGATACTCGGCCGCAGTTTTTAATAGAGGCGAACGACATTTTGAATCCGACCAACTTGTCGCCCGGGCAGGTACTGTGGATCCCACACGTGTACATAGTGAGGGCGGGTGACACGCTGTCCGCGATCGCGCACAAGCTCGGCGTACCAATGTCCCGGCTGCAGGAGGTGAACGGGATCGACAATCCCGACTACATCTTCCAGGAGGATGCTCTGGTCATACCTCCTCCTACAGGAGGGGACCGCGGTGGTGAGGGAGCGCAGAGTGAGGGACAAGAAAGATCGTCTTCCGGAGTGCAGGGTGGGCGAGGAGGGTCATCTTCCGGAGGGGAGGGTGGGGAGGGTGGACGTGGAGGACGCTCATGGTTCTCATCGTGATCGAAAGGCTAACAGGAGCAGCCCGGAGCGAGCGAGCGAGCGAGCGAGAGAGAGAGAGAGAGAGAGAGAGAGAGAGAGAGAGAGAGAGAGAGAGAGCGAGAGAGAGAGAGAGAGAGAGAGCGAGAGAGAGAGAGAGACAGACACAGAGAGAGAGAGAGAGAGAAAGAGAGAGAGAGAGAGATTCAAACAGTTGTAAAGTAACTTCGTCTGGTGTGAACAGGAACAGGTTGTCTGTCCGATGTCGCGTTGTCTGTCTGGGCATATGTCGCACACCACCAATGTCGAGACAAAGTAGTTGACAGCAGTTATACACGGTCAAATAGAATACATGGTGGAAGTCCTTTTCTATTTCTGAAAGGGCGACGCCGCGACGGCCTTTGGATATCGTCATAAATTCATAATTGAACTGATCGGCCCCAGGTCGTTCAGAATGACCAGGGCATCCTCCTGGGGCCCGATCAGTTCAATTATGATATCGGCCCCAGGCCATTTTGGTGGTTTTAGATTGGGAGTTACGTCTGCATTTCAACAGGTCATTGGTGTGTCCACGTCGAATGAGGACTTTTGGGAGTTACGTCTGCATTTCAACAGGTTATTGGTGTGTCCACGTCGAATGAGGACTTTTCGTGCTGCCAGTCTGGCTCATTAAGGGCGATGACTATGGATATCGTCGTCAATTCGTCCGCCTTCGTGACTGTGAGCAGGTGAAGAATTTCTTGTGATTGACACAGAAAGGCAATTTCGTGTGGGATCGCGTAGATCTAGGTGACAAATTCTGTATGGATTGCGCGAGATCTAACGTAACGGAACGGCAGTTTTCCTGTCTGCGGCTTGTCATGATGATGAAGAAGATGTGAAATGGCATTGCATTTTGATAGGACGGAAGTGCATGATGACGAGGCTTGTCGGTGGTTTCAAGTACGCGGGGCTACACCGCGGCATGTGTGAACGTTGGTGGCGCATAGTGTTGTCCCAGGAGTAGAGGGAGGAATGCTGTACACACATCAGGAGGACTTTTTTACGAAATGTGTCAGTCGTGGAGGGATAGTGTTCCAGAAAGAGGCGACCGTCTTCACCCGAATAGAACGCACGGGTATCATCGCCTTGCCCCTTTCGGACAGCACGTACCGTCGTACCAGGCGTCAGTCAAATAGAACGGGCGATTTTTATCACCGATTCACCGTATCTAGTCACAAAGTTAACCCGAAAACCAGCTTATGTACCGAGTCTCCTGTTTGGGGGAAGATGGTAGTACGTCTGCGGGGTGTAGCTGTCCGTCGTCGACTAAAGCAAGGGGGGCGGGGAAGGTGATGTGGAAAGCACGTGTAGTGTAGGAGGAGCAGATCGTGATGGAGGAAGATCAATAGCACGTCGTCAACGTTTATTTGAGGGTAGCGCGAGGGTGGTAGTGAAATTGCAGGGTGGCATTGACATTAGGTCAATTCAGGTGCAAGGGGAATATGACAATAGCGGAAAAACATGTGCAGGGAGCGGCATGACAAGTTGACAACAAATAAATCTCTATGAGAATTTGTGTTTGCGCGGGTCTGACTGTTCGCATCGTCGATCTTTTTGCCGACCTTTACAAATAAACTGTCCGATATTTTGATAGGAGGGAAGGTGAGGATGCTACAGTCTTCCCCCGAATACAACGTACGGGAAGGTGAGGATGCTACAGTCTTCCCCGAATACAACGTACGGTCATTATAGCTGAATTTGGTGTATCATTCGGTCTAAATTCAGCTATATTGATTCGTTGTGTTCGGGGGAAGATGTAGTAGATTTGTGTTTTTGCTTTCTAATGTTGTTGTTGTTGTTGTTGTTGTTGTTTTGTTGTTGTTGTTGTTGTTGTTGTTGTTGTGTGTGTCTGATCAATTAACCCTCCCCCACTTCCCCCTCCCCTCTCTCTGTCCTACCTTTTAGTTTAATGGCATTGATATGAGGTGGCAGGGAGTGATGAAAATCGTTGAGGATATGGTGGGGATCTACGACACTCAATAGATTTGTACGAGAGTTCGCTTTTGCCCCAGTCTGTCTGTTTGCGTCGTCAATCATTGTTTTTCTGGCTTCGTCAATCATTTTTTTTCTTTCTTCTTGAAAGGTTAACGGTTGAGTTATCACGGAGTTGACCAGCCCCAGGTACTTCAAAATTATATTTCGCTAACCTTCATTAACTTCCATCAGGGTTTGAACTTGGGTCTGTGTTTCGCTAACATTCGTCAACTTCCTTCATGGGTAGTAACTGGGCAAGGATGCTTCCCCCGAATACAACGCACGGTCATTATAGCTGAATTTAATCTGAAAGATACACGAAAGCTATAATGACCGTACGTTGTAATCGGGGGAAGACTGTAGGCTCGTTGGCTTTTTTGCCGACATTTAGAAAAAACTGTGCCCTGTTTGGATAGGTTCACGGGCGAGGGTGTTAGCGATTTGAACGGCATGGATATTACGTATGAGGGGATGATGACAGTAGGGGAGCGAGGGCAACGACTACAGATAGGTTTGTGCGAGAGTCTGGCCCGGGTCTGTCTGTTTGCATCGACAGTCTTTTTGCCGACATTTAAGGCATCGGCACACAACTCTCGAAATGTGCAAAATGAGAATGAACTTCCCGATAGAACATGGCCACATGCACCCGCTACATTTTTGTCTTTTTCACATTTCCAGAGCGCTATGGCGAGGCGAACGAACAGTGTGAACTTCTTTTCCTTTCTTTTTTTCTTTGGGGGGGGGTGTTTAACTTCACGTATTTCATTTCAAATCCGAGGACAGGGGCCTGGGAATACAACCCACAAGACAACCCTGTACATCACATGCTCTCGCCATTGCCGCCAATACCCAGCTGTAGGCTCCTGGAAACCGGGTCCAGTGTCCAGAAGGCATGATGATCTTATCTGGATATGCACCCAGTATCGCATTAGTAACGTCCATGACAGCCTTCAATCCCGACGCCCCCATGACCTCCCGATGCTGAAGCTTGAAACTTGAAGATGTGCTCGAATGTCTCGCCCGAAGCCCACCTGTACAAAGCGAAGGTGATGATGAGGTTCGGCTGCAACAGCTCTTGGTAGCGTGTTAGTGTACACTCGATAAATGGACTGCAAATTGCCACGATGTTGCCGAAGATGGTGCGTGACGGTTGCAGTTTGTCATGGAAACGCTCGTCGGTGGCGTGGTGTGAATGTCCATGGCCTGCCATGGGCCCCCGGTCTGCCTTTTCATCCACCAGCGAGGAGTATCCCTCGGCAGAACTCCGGTGATAATAGCATTGGACAACAGAAAAGGAACTTCCGACAGACTGCACGAGGTGATGACGTCTGCCAATGCCTGGGCTATGGTGGGCCCCTTTCTTCCCTTTCCCCTCCCACCCCCCTGCCTTAGACTGTTCACACTCTCCATATGCCGACAGACCGCAAGGAATGGAAGGACTGCACTGGCGACCATGGTCTTCACGTTTGACAGTCTCCTCGCTGCCACCTCCATAATACCGCCACGGTCCATAGCTTCGCGAAGTCGCCTGCGCTGGCCGCAATGGTAGTTCGCTTTGCGCTGTGTCCACTAATGCGCAGGCGAGGACTCGATGAACTACTGAATTCGAATTGGGTGGACTGGACGACATTGCGCGCCCACTCAGGAGGCTCGCCTCGCTTTGCCGAAATTCGGATTCTTGTGTCCCATGGGCCCAAAGGTCGTGGACACATATGTCTGGCACAAGCTCGGGTTGGACATCCTAATCCGAAAAAAATATGCATACCACGGAATCGGAGGCACCTGAAAGGTAAGTGCGAGTAAGTGCAGGGTTTCGTCAGTGGTTGTGGAACGAAAAACGGTGAAGGGAGAATTAATCCAATTTCTATCGTAAGGGTGCCCTTACAAAGTAAGGGTTTTGTAGTGGTGTAGAACGAGGCCCTTAGTCTGGTGTGCCGACTTCTGCTTGGACCCGTTTTCCTTTCCTTTTACGAAAGACCGAGGAATGAACAATATTACACTCGTGGGCGGCTAAGGGCGTCGCGGCACGGTGCACGAAATGAAAAACGAAATGAGTGGCACTGCATCTTCCAGCAGAAAATGGCCAGGTTCATTGTTTGGTACAAAATAGTAACGTCGAGTATATTTTTTGCCGCCTTTTGTGGGCAGATGCAGTCGGTTCGTTTCGTTTCGTTTCGTTTTGTGTGCCGTGTGGCGATTTCCTAAGTTTCACTTGCCAGGCCCAGGGTTTCCTTTTTGCTGACCGTCCATCTCGAAGATAAATAGAGAGACAACTCTGCCTGGGACCGGTGCAGAGTTCGCGATTCCCAGAAATAACAGTGGGACTGCTACCCGGTAGTCCTGCGAACTCGAAACTCTTTATAAAAAAAGAAAATAATAATAAATGTGAAAAGAAATAAAAACAGAACTCGAAACTGCACACCAAAGCCCACCTTAAGTGGAACTGGGAAACAGCCAGACATATCTGGCTGTCTTGTCCCCAGTCTGAGGAACTGTGGCGGTGGTGGAAATTACAGTGGAATGATGCGTTAGGCTCCAAATGGAATTGGACTGAAGACTGGATCTTACATGCTTAATATTTGCTTATCCGTCAAAAGGAGGTAAACTCAGTGATGAGTGTGGGTACATGGCTTTGACGTGTAGGGGGATCATTATGGAGGTTATTTGGAAAGGGAGAAATGAAGCAGCATTTAGGAATCAGGATACCTCGTTTCATCAACAAAGAGCCATGATCAAACAATCAATTAGACTGAGTCAGACGATTTTGGTTGAATGGAAGCGGGCTACAGGAAGATCAGGTAGAGGGGTTAACTGGTTTCGTAAAGTGTGGACGAAAGCTGGTTTTTTGGCAACTGTGACTGAGGAAGGAAAACTGGAAGTTGCAAGATGGTTAAGCTAATGTCAATGAGGTATGAGGATCCGAGCTATCTTCTCAGGGCTCGGAGGGTACTTTTGGGACACACGTAATCTTGCTAGGATTGGACGTCCGCCGAATATTAGGCCTTGTTTGGTCCGAATTAGATCTGGTATGGGCATAGCCGCATAGGGGATGGAGCAAGATAGGGATCAGATCTCTTATAACCTGACCAAAGCTGGCGGGTTTTGAAGTACCTAGGCCGTTCTTGTGTTTAATAAGTAGACTGTAGATCCTGTATTTGTTACAGGTGTGTTTAAGTATGGCTGGCCAGAGAGGAACTTTGGTATTTTTCAGAGGAATAATCTGACCAGTGAGGGTCCCTTCTTTGAGTGATTGGATTTTACTGTGCTTCAAGTTGACAATTTTTTGGGAAGTATTTTTCAGAGGACAGGATGCTGGACCTGATTTCCAGCAGTAGACTGAGGTATCTTGTGCAGATGAAGTTAGTACATCGAGCAGTGCTCGCAAGCTAAACTGGCTGAGGCTGGCAGGATAACTGCGGGTTGAATTGTGAGGTCCCCGGCCTCGTCCTATTGAATTTGGCAATAAATATACAAGCTTCCAAAAAAAAAAAAAAAAAAAAAAAAGAAACTGCACACCAAATGCGGGCTAGATATTTTGGATGGTGTCGTTGTCGTGGGCGTTCGTTAATTATTGTCTCACTCGGTTTTTCCAAATTGAGCTTGGTCGTTTTGAATTTGGGGCCGAGAATTGAGTTCTCCTTCTCTTTTCTGTTCACGTTTTTACGAAGCTATGTTCTCAACTTTAGCTTTCACTATCTGCCGACCACTACTCCTAAGCCTATGCAAGGGACCCCTGCAAGCATGGCTACCTCTCTAATTAAGGGGTGGAAAAACTGTGGAATGCATGCGGCCACCCTGATCGGCGCTGATCAGGGAGTAGGGTGGCGGCACTGGCAAGGTGGGGCCGCCCGTGGGGGGGGGTCTGCCTAGTGCAAAGACCGAGCATTTTGCCAGTATCTGCATCTCTATCTACTTCCCCCATCCACATAAAGTACTAATAGTGGTGGTTATGGCCGACACTCTCCCACACACTACACACAATACATACACACTCACAGCGTTGTTCGCCATAGACCCTACTCGCCAGCAGCTGCACCCCTATTTACTTTCCCCAACCCCCATAGAGTAGCAGTTGTGGCTATGGCCAACACTCTCCGACGTACCACACACAATCCACTGACACTCACAGACCGTGACACCGTGTTGGTCATAGACCCTACTAATACCGATCAGGGGTATCAAGTGGACTATATCACAGTCGGTTGGTTGGCACTAAGTGCACCGCAGGAACTCATGGCGCTTGAACCCATAACCTCCTGAATGCTACTTGTGTAGCACACTTTCATTACGTGCTTTCGATGGTGCGAGCCCCCTGCGAGCCATGAGTGCCTGCGGTGCACTTAGTGCCAACCGCGAGCCCCCTGGCGCTGCCGCTGGTACGAGAAGAGGCAGCTCGAAGAGCGGTCGTTTTAGGCGGAGCATACCCTGCAGCCCTCGTCTTGTGCTCCGTAACCAACTTATCAGGCCTCTGGATGTCAAGTTGAGTTTCGTAAACCCGAATGCCTCTGATGTTATTGTCGTGGACTAGTGCTCGTTGACTCTTTGGTGAAGTAATTTGTCATTCCCCTTTTTCGGAATAGAGTGTGGTTGTTTCGAGTTTGGGGCATTGGTCAAGTACATCTCAGTCAAGAATCGAGCGACGATCTCTGAATAGCTAGCAAAGCTGCGGAGGTATAGAGAAAGTAAACACATTCCTCAAGCCAGGTTCATCATACACCGAGTCAAGAATACCAATAAAAGGTGATAGCGGTGTCTGCTCTTATCAGCACCCCTACCACCACCTCGGTTTGTTCTGATAAAAAAAAAAAAAAAAAAAAAAGAAGCAATAAGTGGCACTTCGCTACAGGTGCGGGATGTGGAAACTACAGGGGCGGGCTGTGGTGTCCAGAGTGCCTTCTATTCGTGGGCAGCAACACCTTCAGGGCAGAGGGTCGAAGTTCAGAAAGGCGAAAAAGAAGACCCGGTCCGCTGTTTTTGTTCGTTTGCCCACATTCATAACTCCTGCCTTGTTTTTCTGCCCTTTGGAAACTCAACACCACCCTCTTTTTTTTTTCTTTTTTTTTTCTTTTTTTTTTCTTTTTTTTTTTCATCCCGTTGCGGTTGTGAAATCGAATCTTCACGGATAGCAACCTGCAACACCTGCCATCGAAAGCCTCATCTTAATTAAGGGGGTGTGCATGGCAAATCAAAGCAAATGTACCCCCTTAATGTACCTTTGAGGCTTTTCAGGTTGCTATCCGACGGGCCTATCTCAGTTGGTACATCCTTGGAACTGTTAAGAGTCCGACTCCGACGACTCGGAGTTCGAATTCAGAGACAATTATCATAGAGCTACCGGGGGGCCTGGTGGCGAACAGTTAAAAGTGTGGGCCAAAGATTTACCAGGGGGCCGGGGCTGAACAGCTCAAGCCTAAAAGTGTGGGCCAAAGAAGAGGGTTTTTATTTTTATTTTAATTAAATCTATTTGTTGGCGTTTCCAGCTTCCCAAAATATACAGAGGCTTGCAACCAAAAAAAAAAAAAAAAAAAAAAAGGTTTTCTCACAGAGTACGAATGCGACACGACTTCACACAAGGTTTTTGTGATTACTTGACAGTCATTGGGGAGCCCTACGAATGGCTGGATAGGGTATTTTACCATTTCAGAGAACTACGCAATCTATCTTCAAGGGGCTACCCATGCTTTGTGAAATGACATTGAGAATTTGAGAACGCCGAGTTCATGTTTGCAAGTGGAAATTGTTGTACAACGAGGAATTGATGGAGTAAAAAAAAAAAAAAAAAAAAAAAAAAAGATGGAGCAACTACTTGGGGTGTTTCTTTAATAATAATAATAATAATAATAATAATAATAATAATAATAATAAAAAAAAAAAAAAAAAAGAGAACACTAAAGAGTGTAACTGGTGGGCACTGTACTAGGAACTAGTAGGAAGTGTTAACTCGCTTCTGGAGGTATTTCTGCTATAATTGTGGCTTTCGTTGTTGTCTGTATGCAATGCCTGGGAAGTTGGGAACTGTCCGTCACGGACCGCCACAGTCTCACAGACTGTCACGGTCCGTCAGTGTCCGAATTAACTGTCTCTTCTTTCTTTCTCTTCTTTATTCCTCTCCCTCCTTTTGCTATCACGCTGTTGAGAAACTTAGGGCATTTGCCCGTGGATTCGGTCGGCGGGACGGTTTTAGTCCCACTTTACGATGTATCGACCAGGTGTTTGCCATTTTTGTCATTTACCCGGACACTTTATCCGGGAGTGTCCTTTCCGTAATTGTCCGAACGGCGCGGAACTGGCCGCAAGACTGCATGATGACGGAAGCGGATTGTTGCCAGCACCAGCCGGGGCTCAATCTTCTAGTGTTTCTAACGCTCTGGTTCCCTATCAGGCACCGCCTAATAGGGGCGCGAATGAGGGAGCTAATGGTGTCAGCGGCTACAGCAACTACGGGAATAACGGTGGCTTCAGGAACAATCAGAGTTATGGCGGGCAGCGATTCGGGAAGCAATGGGGTGGGGGTTACAAGGATCGTGATCGGGATGATCGATTTGACAGGATCTATGGTCTGCTCTCTGAGCAAGCGGAGGAACGGGAAAGGAAGAAGCAGGAGCGGCTAAACTAGAGTTACTTGAAGCCGAGAAGAGAAGGTTACAAGCAGAGGAGGAAAAGAATGCGCAGGCCAGGAAAGAGAAGGAGCTGCATGAGGCGAGGCTAGGGAAGATAGTCAGGGTGAGCATGAAATCCGTCTGTGAATCAGTTCTTGGGAAGAAGGTGGATATTCCCGATGATGATGAATCTGAGATCAGTAGAGTTAGGAGGGAGTTGGAAGAATTAAAGGCACGATGTGCGGGCGAGAAAGCGGAGTCTAGTTTAGAGGCACTACGTCGGGAGAAAGATGCTCTACAAAGAGCTCAATCAAAAAGTAGCGAAGAGGAGAATCTCAGGAAAGAAATTGAGATGTTGAAGGCCAGGAATGAGAAGGGTAGATTTGCTGATGCTGTTTCCGAAATTTCCAGGAGTGACGAAATCGCTGCGCTCCGCTTGCAGATTCATGAGCTCGAAGGAGTCCGCGCGGCGCTTGAAGCACGTGGCAATGAGCTAGGCAATCTTAAATCGGAGAACGCGGCGCTCAAGAAGGATTTCCAGGCTCTTAAAGGCGAGATCTCGGAGATTAAGAATGCTAATAACAAGCGCGCATCTGACATTGTCACGGAAAAAAGCCCACCAGCAGAACCAGATATGGGTAAGCAAAGGATGGCTCCGATCGACGAAGCAGTCTACACTCCTAAGGATCTCAAGGCTCTTCACAAAGCTTTTAAGAAGGCGCAAGCAGGAGAAGAAATGCCAATCGGGAGGTGCAAGCTCTTAAAGAGCGTATGGCGCATTTGGGGGCTCAGTTGTTGACGAAGCAGCGACAGTCGGTTAGAAGGCCACTGAGCGGGAAGACTACGCCACGGAATCTGAGACCGACGCTCAACGCTATACAAGTTGATAATGACGAGTCCGACAAAGATGCCGATCCGGCTAAGATGGTAGAGGTCGAGGGCTCTCCTGACAAACCTGAGGAGGTACAGCTGAAGAAGCTGCAAGAAGAGGAGAAACGTACACTACGAGCAACCAGGAAAGCCGAGATGCAACGTCTCTGCGAGGAATAAGGGATTACTTACATCAGGCTTGACCAGGCCAGGGCAGATGTCGGCGAAATCTGAGCCAGGAGAAGATTTGCGCAGTGTCTTAAGGACCAGGGGCTTCATGACGATGAGGACGATGATCAAGAGTTGCAGTACGCCACCTCCGCGGAGGAAGTTAACGACGAGTGAGATCGCGCCCTGAGCGCATCTTCCTTTTGGAAATTGGCATCTTTCTTTCGGGATTATCATAAGTCGTTACCTCTGGATGAGGTTAATTATTTGTTTCGATTAATTGTTGTTCTTTTAACGATTGATTATCAGATTCTTTGGACTTATAAATTTCGTGAATTATTTCTACATCTGCTAAGGATTGGATATGATTTTAGACGTTGTCCAGGTCCGGTTGTATATGCCCTTATTTCTCCATGGTTCAAACATGTATATGTCGGATGCACTTCTCGTAGTGGTTGTATCAGATGGAAGAAACACTTCTCTACCTCAGCATCTTCTAGGTTTCTTCGTAGAAATAGGAAGCTCTATCTATGGACCAGGCGTGTCGGTATGGATGGTTACATCTTAGTTCCCATTTACTCTTGCTCTTCCGTAACTGATCTGATGCCTTCTGAGAAATTCTTCATTCGTTCTTTCAGTCCATCTCTTAATTCTTCCCTCCTCACAAGATCCCGGAAGTCCACGAGAACTCGCCGGGGAAGGAAAGGGCGCGGCACAAACCTCCAACTACTTCCGACGCTCTCCATTCCGTTACTACCATCCAACCTCCTTCCCTCTCTACCCCATCGGTTGCCGCTTCTTCTTCCGCTGCATCCCATCGTGCGCCTTTCCTTTTTACCTTTCCAAATGGGCAGTCTTCAGTTAGTCTTATTTCCCTCCTTGGTAGTATATCAATATCTAAAGCACGTTTTTCTCTTTCACTCCGTGTGATATCAGGTAACTCCTTTGCTGAAAACAGGAAGCTTATCCGCCGTCTTTTTGGTTGTTCTACTGCCTCCACCACCGATCTTCCTATCTCGCTACTCAAACATTGCAGATCCTGGTTTCGGCCAGGGGCCATTATTCACCTTCACTCCATCATCAGATTTTGTTTCAAGTCTCTTCCTTACAAGGACAATGTAATTACGCTTCTAACGCACCCGCTTTCTAGGCGTGATCTTCCACTCTGGTGTCTTCAGTCCTTTGTATCTGCTTATAATGCAGTTCGTACCATTTCTGCCAAACGATCTCGTACTTCATTGCGCATTATTCTGTCGCAGGCATGTCGTTAGAAGTTAAATCTGTCACTTTCTGCTAGATTGGTCATACGAGTCAAGTTCGATGAGAGAGTCAGACGGGTATGCCAGAGATGTATACTTGGGTTAGATCTCCCTCCACCATACCTTGAGCAAGTATGCAGAAGGATGCGGATTGTCTGGACAAAAAATCAGGCGATATCAGTCCTACTACACAATTTTCGGCGGTATGCATTAGCACCTGAATCTGTTTGTGGTTGTGCAAGTCTGCCTGCTGTTCTTCCAAGGGTCAATGATCATATATCCTTCAGAATTAGCGAAGTAGATTTTCTCCCCTCCTTTCTCCACAATTCGAAGAACATCGTCTACCCAGAGTACGTTACTCACATAGGATTCTTACGAAAGCAGATTACTGATTCCTTTCAACAACTCTTCGGAGCTGTAGGGAAATTTCCCCTACTGGATCTGAAGTCCTGTCTGTCTAATGGTGGTAGGCAGTCTATCGGCATTTCATTTTATGATATTGCAACATGGGAAGATATTTTCGAAAGGCTTGTGCGGTGCCCTTTGGATCACAATAGTGGCGACACCTTTGTTTGTTGTCCTACTATCTATTCTAGAGGGATTCGACAGTTATTCACCGAGAACACAGGACTGCAGGTGATTGAGAGAAGTGAAACTGAAGTCATTCGTGAATGCAGAACGGACTATCTCGCCCAGAAATTTCAGTCACTGGCACCATGGGTTGCATCGGGCAAGCTAGGAAGGGCGTACGTTATACCGAAACATAAGGACGTAACTAAGTGGCGACCCATTTGCCCGTCCTGGAGTGAGCCATCTAGGAAGTCAGCAAGGATTATATCTCTGTGTGTCAACGAATTTCTCAAAAGATTACCATCAAGAAGCCACTTCAACCTACGCAGTATTATATCTCTTTCTTCATTCTTATCTAGGGTTAACCACAATGTTGATCAATGCGACGATCTGCTAGCGAGTAGCTTTGATGTAAAGGAAATGTTTTGCCAGTTACTGCACACGGCTATTCTCAGTGCGGCAGAATGGGCTGTCAATCTTTTCGAAGAGAAAGGTTTCCAGAAATACTTGGTATGTGTTAGAAGTAAGTTCGTGGTGTTTTGTAAATCTGCAAAATCACAGACAGGGTACAAGTCAGTCAAGTTCTCCCTTCTTCTTAGGTTCATCGCTTATGATCTTGAACATTCATATACCATGGCAATGGGAAAAGTAGTGAAGCAAAATCTTGGTATTCCCGCGGGCAAATCGTCGAGCCCGGCTCTAGCTTGTTTGATGTGTGCCCACAATGAGTTTACTTTCTTGAAAAGTCTGGGCAATGACGCACGTTTGGTTTTCGGTTGTAGATTAGTAGATGATGTTTCGATCTTCGTCAAGTTTAAGAGGCAGCAGCTTAGTTCTGAGAAGAGAGCAATGTCAATAATGGACAGGTTTATCACTACTTGTTATGATAAGCATCTTACTTTGGAGAGAACCAGCAGCGGTAATCATTGGCCGTGTTTAGGATGCAGGATTTTGGTAGGAAGCCAGCCTGTTCGGGTTTACTGTCAGGCCCTGCATAAGAACCCAGAAAATATATTAGAAGGTAAGGGTCTTATTTTCCAAAATTTGCAGGATTACTGTTCCTACTGCAGCAAGAAACAAAAGATGGCCATCATCTCATCATTTCTGCATCGAGTTCATGCTATGGGCACATTGCCTGCTGCGGAGGCCGCCTTCCTTTTCACCTTGAAATTGGAACTCAGACAACGGGGATTTCCAGGTATTCTTTTGGACCAGGCATTGAGCAATTTCAATATTAAATTAGGTGGGGCTTGGACCGTCTGGGTCCGCTGTTTCACGAACTGGGTGGGCTGGGACTAGTTCTCCGATACCATCTGGAATAGTTGTTTTGGACCGGGTTTTCATTTCAGACCTTTGTCTTTTCGGACCGTAGACCAAGTTTCTTTTTCCTGGTTTTGTCCAGTACCTTGTCGGATTTTTAGTGACGTAGGCTATATAAGTAGGTCTATCTCTTGGTCTTCCCTATCTCACTTGCGCTTACCCCTGACGATGGCCGGTGTCTGATGGCCGGCCGAAACACGTGTAGGGTAGTCCGTCAGTTGTTCTTCAAGTTATGGCGCTCTGCGCCTAATTTTTCAATGTGCTTATTGAATATCTTTAATGATGCGCTCGAGGGATTCATCTTGTCTCTCTGTTTCTTTTCCGGTTTGGCAAATGTGTGTCACACACTTGATTGTGTGTTGCGCACTTGCACGATCGCTCACATGCAGCTTCTCTTGCTTTTTTTTTTTTTTTTTTTTTGCCTTCATTTTTTTTCTTTGTTTGCAACTTTGCGTTGTCATCGGATTTACCACCGAGGGCCAGGATGAATTTATTTTTTTTATTGTTGTGTCTAACCTGACAAGGTGGTCGGTCACCTTTGCCTTATTGCATTCAAGAGAACCCCTAGCAACCTTATACACTCCACATAAGAGGGAGAGAGGTTGCAGCGCTACTGCCCCCAGGCTCCCAGCCCCAAAGAGACGACTCGGAGGTGGGTGACATTGGCCTCTGCGGCCAGGGGTCAGCAGTAGCACAAGGAACAACATTGCACACCCACATCCACTGTGATCCACAGCGCTTAGCCATAATAGCCAACGCCCATAATATTCGCCGACAACAAATTTAAAGAGGAGTCAAGGAGAAGAAAGGGAAGTAAGTAAGGTTTGGTAAGCAGTAGTACGCACACTTTTTTTTTTTTTTTTTTTTTAATATGTCTATAAAGCAGCTCTATCAAATCCATCATTAGGCACTACAAAGTATCGATCAGGATCATTTAACTGACCCGCTTGTTTGATTGATTGCATAGATTACAATTTTTTCGTCGATTGCTGCACTGATTTTGCTCAAGGATGGAGGGAGAAGAAGGAAGACCAATCATGCCGCTGATAAAGAGAGCGTTTTTTTTTTTTTTTTTTTTTTTTTTAAGAGCTATATTTTTCTCTCAATTTCACCTCACACTACGTACCTACCACTACTCCTAATGGTAGGCATACAGGGAATCCCGTAGCAGCCATTGACGAGTTGATTGTTTTTTTTTCCCCCAAAGAATCTAAACGCATGTGCTATCCTCGTAATGTGAGTGGAAGAGGTGTGTGAGTTTGCATGCAGGGATTGAATGACAGTTCTACTGATTCAATCTGACTGTCCTTACAGCCGTCCTTTTTTTTTTGTTTTTTTTTTTCGACTCTCAATGATGGCAACTGTTTTTTGTATGCTCATTGTTGTAAGATGTTTTTTTTAAGTTTTTTTTTTTTTTGGGTAAGGCTCGATCCAGTCTTTCAGGACAGGTGATATGAGCAGCCTGCCCTAGGGAGTCTTGTGGCTGGCCGCTCCATCTATATTGGTGGGGACACTGGGGAGCCTCACCTCTGCTGGAAACGGGGTCCAGCGTCCCATTGAACACGTGTATAGCACTCGTGATTTTTCTCGAGTGCGTCTGGTATTTGGTTTCACAGCAACTTGCTGCTGCCATCAAGTTGCAACAGCGAGAGAGACTCAAAAAGAGAGACTGGGTGTTC